TTTATCAATATAAATGTAGGAAATGTCATATTTTCTTTATAAAATTCTTTTTTATATTCTTTTAATATATATATCGTAATATGTTAACATATATCACAGCATGTTGATTTTTAACATAAGTTCATTATAATCTAGGTAACTCTTCATAGAACTACTTAATTTTATTAATATATGTGTTGGTAACACAATAAAAATTGCAATTTAGTTCTACTTAATTAACGTTTTTTATAATGCATGTTTCAATGCAAAAAAATAACTTTTAAGAAAATTACTTCTAAGAATGTTTTACTATAATGTTTTACTATAATGTTTTAGTTTTTAATGTTATACCTGCATCTTGAATAAATATAATAGTTGGTACTACATAATATAATAATAAATAATTTATATGTAATTGTGCGCATGTTTATATGTACCGATTTTTTTTTACCGAATACGCGCGCGTGCCATGACGATAGAACTACTTTTACGTTTTAGATAATCCAAGTGCTAATCGTATCACCTTCTCTCACTAGCGAGCGCCGAACACACGATCGAGTTTTTGCGGACTTGAGATCCAGTTCCTGCGCGAACCGTGATCGAGTTGTCGTTAAGCTCGGCAAACCCTTTCCGATTGTTGCATAAAAATAGAAAGTCGTAATGTTAATCGGAGGAAGCTGCTAACTTCAAATTGTCATCGAACCGTTAAAAAATTGTGCATTTCGATATCCGGAAAAATTGTCATTGATAACCGAATATTCTTGAACTATGTTGAAATCTTGTTGGATTATTTGCGGCAAAAGCTGAGATTGACTTTTGTTGCAAATCATTAAAACGCCCAGTGACAGTTACATAAGAAAAACGGAAAAAAAACGTAGGACGCAAGAGGAACGTACATCGTGAATAGCATTGTTGGACGTCCTACGATCGCATATCAAGGAACTAATTCGACCTGAGATGATCTATATCAGTAAATGTCAGGGCTAACAACACTGCTACTATTTTCGAAGACAGCGACTTGTGAAAGGCGAAACTTGAATACTTCATAACAAATTATGCAAAATTCTGTGTGTATATATATGTGTTCATCAGTATTATGACTAGATAATATTGTACTTAATGGAATTAAAGGGAAATGTACGATGAGACCTATCACTCAAAAAAATGATCTTGCAGTTACAACGAAAATTATCTAACAGTACGAAAAATAGCTGGAATAGATAAATTTCTAGCAAGTATAACTGCGATATTGGATATGTATTGCATCTAATCATATAGGTGGCAGAGATAGAATTTAGATTTGTGCTATAAATTCTATGCGTATGATATATAATTTTTTATCAGATACAAAAAACAGCTGTAATTCTAGCTGGAGCAGCAAAATATTTTGTGTGATTCGCTCTTTCTCTAACAATAAGTATTATTCGAATATTATGAATCCGATACGTTTCTATGTTTCAATACGATATTAAAGAGAAGCGATATTATAAATTTATTAACCACTTTTATTTAAATTAAATCGTTACCCAACAACACAAAATCTAAAATTGTCACATAAAACGTTTTTAAGTCGTCTTTTAGACGCAAAAAAAACGTCTTATGACCCGGTTTTAGACACTTTTCGTTATCTGGGTAATCATTTGAACGTCTAAAAAATATTTCATTACATATATATAAAAAAATTCTGTTTTTGTGATACTAATCTTTAATACGTTTCTACTTTCCCTAATCAAGCGATCGATATTAATTGACGTTGTGTGAATGTTATCTATTAATTCAATGATGTTAAAATGATATAATCGAAGTGATTATATCATTTGATATAGGCAACGTCCAATGATTGAATCAATTGATCCATTACAATAAAATTTTTTTTAAATGATTGTAAAAAAATTGACCGATATATTACTTCCTTTCACCGAACGACATTGGAGTCACCGCGAAATCTTCGGTGAAACGAAACTGTAAATGCAGATATAATGTGGGTCGTTCACGGACGATTATCGCGGGTCTTAATCGCGGAGTACGTCTCGTGGAAGTCATCATTAAACCGCACCACCATAATCACATCGAGAACCTTGAGGATGCATTTGCATTACATAAGCATGAGAAATAAAAAATTTTCTCTTTTCTTCTTTCTTGAAAGAAAAATGTACGTTTATATTTTATGTATTTATATACTGTAAATATATCCGTATAAATATATGTCAGTTTAATATGCGATGTTACTACTCTAGCTTCAGTTTAAGACTGTGTTTCAAGTAAACGACGTACAATTTGCTTAAACTGGAAATTGTATCACAAGAAATATTATTAAGTACAAAGAGTCGCTCTAACCGAATATGACGTTTTCTACATTTAATTTCATTGTTCAATTTTCATTTAATATTATAGGTAAATATACATTATTTGTGCACAAATATCTATACTATACTATTGTTTCATTATATAGTACTTATACTTCATTATATTAATATAATTTTATACACACTAAAAAAAAATTTACTAAATTTTATTAAATATTTGTTTAAACAGTACTCACAAAATATTTATCACAAATGTCAAATGTCACTTCCTGGTAGCTTTTTAATTTTATTATATTTTGAAAAATAATATTAAAAAATAGTAGATTGCAGTGTAATAAACTACAAAAGTGGATATAAAATAGGAAGTAATATTTTTTTTTCATAAGAAATATATTATTTATTTATTATAAAGATAATAGGTCGTACTTCAATACCTACTTGAAAAATGATTATCCGTGTGATTTATACATGTAAGAGTGAGTGAACACAAATATAGCACTACTCAGTCATTGTCTTCAAACATGAAATATACTTTTAGAATTCTGTGTTCAAAATATATATGAAAATATTATTCCAACATCTAGCTTCGATAGTTGTGCTTTTGTTATTTAGTTGATTAATAATTTAATTGTATAATAATTTAATTTATATTACATCAAATAAAATTATTAAAATTATGTTGAAAATATCGGGGAATAATCGACACATTATCGATATTAATTAGAGCGTGACGCAGCGAGAAAAATTAGCTAACGAAATAAGAGGAGGGAATATCAGTCGATTGGTTTACCGGCCATCTAATATGACGATAGAAAGTTACAAAATGCCGATCCACCGCATAATTTCACAGGCGGAACCCATGCGATCCGCGGCGAGGTTTCGTAAACTCAAGTGAAAACATTACGAGTGACCGGTCGGTCGGCCTGCAAAGGCCGTACTCCATTTTACCGAATCGCTGCTCAACCTTGCATTCGGTCAGTTTCAAGGAGACGAACGAGAGTCACGCCATTATATTTTGAGACTCAATGCCGTGCTCTCCATTCCCAGACTATAACGTGAAATCTAACGGAAATCAAACAGCGCAATTGTATGAATCTTAAAGACTATTTATATTTCAATACTTTTCCTTCTTCCACTTATAACACGCTAATTTATTTATGAAAATTATCACTTCAAAGTGATATAAGACGAATTATAATAGAATATTCCTCCATAAGTTTGCACAGTTTATCCTACCCTATCCTATCGATATTTGATTTTTAAATATAATCAAATCAGGGCGGGGCGATATACATATAATAACACTTTCTCTTTTTCAAGATACTACTTCAGCGAGAGTGAGTATCGCGGGACAGAACGTATTGTTGAGATTGATATTGCATAAGTACGATGCTTCAAATTGCGGTCAATTACACTTGATCCTCCGCACGTCAACGATCTCGTACAATTTATGTGTTCACAGGAAATGCGATTTCGGTAGGAAATACTTCAAGCATAGCCAGTAAAGAAACTTACATCTTCTCATTAAACTTTAATAACTGGTGGTCAAGTATGCATTGATACTTAGGCAGGTTTCATTTCTTTGCTTTCGTAATAATTTAGCCTAAAACTATGAATTCAATTATACATTCACGGAAAGAAATTTAGCTAGATCAAATCTGAAAATATTTTGTTGGATTATCGAAAGAATTATTTATTTCGATAATCCAACAAAATTATTTTCAGATTTGTACCTGGTAAAATTTTTAAATACTTCAGCAAAATCGTTCTTTTCATGCTGATAAAAAACTTATAAGAAGTATGTACTTATATTAAGTATCTTAATGATATTTTCTTTTAAATTATAAAATAATTGGTATATATAAGCGTCTCGAACTGGTATTTATTTTACACTAATTACTTTTGATAGTTGCACCGTAATACTTACGACCTAAGTGGAAATATCTAAATTTCTATGTAACAGACATGAGTAGACTTAAATTTGTAAGTTGCAGATTAATTTTGAAATGTATAAAGTATATAACGTGTTCGGGGTAGTTACACGAATGTGCGTGATACAGGAGTTGCAGAACTCGATCGTCAAGTTAGTGGTCCAATACTGGATTTAAAATGATTTCGTTGCGAGAGAAAGACTAAGTGACACGGCGATAGATAAAATAGTCCGTTTTTTCAACTTATTCCGCGATTACAGGCAAGATGGTGGCTAGTGATAAGAACGCACTCGTCAAATTATTTGAAATAGCGCTCCTGTGTAATTTCTCTTTCATGGTCCAAATTTATACCTATCCACTACAGTTTTACATAATATCTTACCTTAGAAACTCGTCACACCAGTTTTACAAAACTGATCCAATTTTTCGTCAGGTCGAGTTACATGATCGTTGTATCAGCTGCCAACTTCTAACAAGATTTGTTCTGTTCATTCAAGAAGTCAAGATATCATTAAACAGAGAGTTTTCCTGATCGTGTCATACCGATTTTCAAACTGTTTCGTTTTTAACAGTGTACACAACCAACAGAAATGATAATTTTTTTGAAACAATTTGATTCAAGCATTATACTGTTAATGATGAAATTCTATCCGTAATCGATCCGCGGATCAACCAACCGAGCGACGGAGTGCGATTTTCCAGATTCCCGAGAAATCCGAGGCTGGTGGGGAATATTTAGGGGATATAAGGTGCTGTAACGAGACAAGGCGACCGTACGTACGTACAGAAGTTGAATAGATAGTGAAAGTCCCTCGGAGCGAACAGGAGTGCTAAGGAAGGGAGCGGGGTTCAGCAGGAACGGGGGGGTTCCAGTAAGGTATATGAGGGCCTCAGTTCGAGCAATCGCCGGTACTCTAGCCTCGCTGCCTACTTACATTCACACACACTAACACAACCACCGACCGCCGGGAAACACGATGCACACCCTCGCGACGGTACGTATCTGAGTGCATCATCAGCATCATCGTCGTCTCGTCATTGTTCTCTCCGCATAGTCACCTCTCGCGGATCTTTGCCTAAAAACAAAATGAAAAACAACCGCCTTGGAATGCAAGCGCCAAGACGGAAATCGCGTGTGATGTGATAGTGGCTGTGACTAGTGCATAATCCGTATCGTGAGCTTGGAAAATTGATGCTACAAGCCCTGAGGAATTCTGATTTTCATTTATTTTGGCTTTATCGACAGAGTCTTTATACTTCTCTCGACTTTCCATTCTTTGTGCTTGTTGGCAATGTAAACTGTTTTATGCAATATTTTAAATATATCTAATTATGGTAATAAAAAATCGTGCCATAATTTATTATAAAAGGTATAAATGCATGTGATTTATAGCAATTTAAAAAAGAAATTTTAAGATCGTGATTAAAGAATGCTTACATTAAACCGCGATACTCTTTGAATTTTTGCATCAATTTATTAACGTTTCACATTGTCTTTCTTTTTACTACATAAAAATTACATTGCTCGTTGGAGTTATTAAATTCACGACAAGAAGCGAAACGATTGAAAACGGCCGTTGTAGGCTTGGTCACGTTGCGCAATTCTTGTGATCCCGTTTCCTACTTTCTTCCACGTCGTGGAAAAATTTATTAAGATTTCACCTATTATGAGTCGGGCGAGACGCATTTATTTTTACAACGCGCCTACTGACGCTTGTAGAAAGACTATTATATAATTCACCATTATATGTTCGAGTGCGGTCGCGTGCGATGACCGACGAGAATATGAACAGTTCTTCAGGTCGGTTGCACCAGCATCAGTTAACCAGCATAATTAATTAACTCCTTGCAACAAAAGTGCGCCATATAAGACTGTTGTTTCGTTGTTTTCTCCATTTTCCTGTGATGAAAATATCCTGAACTCTCAAAACATTTTTTTGCCATTTTTTCATAAATAAATTGTATACGGAAATAAGTAGGAAGGAAGAAATGCAGTTTAGTTATATTCCGTAATTTTTAAATTTGCTAAGAACATACAGAAAACAAGAAACTAAACACAGAAAACGGAGAACACGAAATACGGAGAACGGAAATAAGAATTGTCAATTAATATCGAACTATCCATACACGTATGTTAAATAGCTGTATCAGGAAATAAGAAATTATATACAGAAAGAACAGTTTTACTGAAGTAACTAAAAATTTGACTAAATGTGGAAATAATAAAAATAATTTTGTTAAAATAATATATAGGCTTAAGCTGCTTGTATATCAAAATTTTTTGCAGTATTGATTACTTCTTTGTAGCATTACTGAATTTCCTAATAATTATTTTGACGATTCAACAAAATTATTTTTAGATATATCTAGCTAAATTTTTAAATATTTCAACAAAATCGTTCTTTATTAACAAATCGAAATGATGATGTAACATAAGTATAACAACGTGGCATAATATAATAAAAGGAAATAAATTTCATGATACGGAGGTTTAATTAATAGTTAGTATTTTTAATTAGTTTGAATCCGGTTAATTGATGCTGGTTCAAATACTGTCGGCATTTCACGCTCGCCTATTTAGAGTTACAGGAAGCATACTATGTAGATTGAATGAATTAATTATTTCTTGTTAATATTAGAATCAGCACGCGGTCGCAATCGCACACGTATGGAATGGATAAGGGGGCACGCATAGTCACGCGTGAACGATCGCGATTAATAACTTGATTTATCGATTTTCAATATCGGTGTGCGTTCATAGCTCGGTATCCGCGACTTGAAACCTATTTTGCTGACGTGGAATTCGACACCCTTCGAGCTCCGCGCGATCTATTCTCAAGTGTATTACAACGTTGTTCGCATCTGGCGGTTAAGGTTCTGCTCTATAGCTTGCTACACAGCCTTAAGTTCACGCGCTGTCACGCGCTGATCTCACAACTGCATTTCACGAAATCAACGGTTCATAACTTTGTAACTCTATATGTCCACTCTTACGTCATGCACAAAGGCATTCTCGTTTTACTTTATATCAGGTTTTGACGTTCTTTTCTTCGAGTAAAAACGTAACAAGCGTTAAAGAATGGTATAAAAATGGCAACATAAAACTCAGTAAATCTAACGATATTAAAGCAAGAAGCTGTAAAATGACCGCCTTATTATTAACCTGAACTATCTATTACAATTTTTGTATGTAATTTGTTTTTGTAGTCTTAACTATTACAAAAATTAGAAAGTTATTAAATAGCTAGAAAAAAGAATAAATTTAAAATAATAACTTACCAGCAAATACCAACTAATAATAACATAACTGTTAGTTATAATTCCTTACTAAACAGTATTACTATAATATAAATTATAACAATTATATAACACGTAACAGCTATATTGTTGAGTAAAAAATTATATCTAAAAATTATATCTAAGTATATCAGTAAGTAGTTGGTGTTTGCTGGGTTAATTTTAAATTATAACTTAATTAATATATTATAATTTAATTTATATAATTAAATTAAAAACAAATGTATAACATGCGAGACATAAGGAAAAATTGCAATTAAATGCTATTTCTATATAACTAATATATAAACAATTCCCAATATTAATTGGATATATGTCGCAAAATGCGATGAACTGACAGTGTTTTCGCGTTTCAGGTAGCAACGGTGCTCACCGCGCTGCTAGCGGTATCGGCACAGCAGTACCAGCGACCTGGCGGTAATTATATTGACGATTATGCCCAATACGACTCCCAACAACCTAGCCAGCCGACTCCACGTAGCTACGCGACCGATCCGGATCGTCAATCGGCTGCGCCAGCGAATCCGAAGCCAACGCCGGTGGCAATCCTGAAGCAAATCAATCGACACAACGAAGATGGCTCGTACACGTATGGTTTCGAAGGTGCAGACGGCTCCTTCAAAATTGAAACCAAACTGCCGACCGGCGACGTGAAGGGCAAGTACGGTTTCGTCGATGACACTGGTAAGGTCCGTATAGTCGAATATGGCGCGGATCAGTACGGCTTCCAGCCGGCCGGTGAGGGTATCACCGTAGCCCCACCAACCCTGTTCGATGAGACCACCAGCAGAGAGGCCCTCGCAGCGCAGGCCTACGAGGAGCAACAACAACAGCAGCAGCAGCAACGGCAACCGGCGCCCGCTCGACCGGCTTATCAGCAACAATCACACACCCAGGCTGTATACGCTCCTGCGCAGGTAGCCCCGAGCAGACCCGCGCTTCCCAAACCTCCCATTTTTACCCCGGCTGCCCCAGCACCCCAAGCCCCGCGACAGCCCCTGCTGCCGCAGAACTACGAACCAGCGCCGTCCTCGCAGCTTTACAATCAGGGACCAGCTCAGTTCAGTCCTGCGCCGCATCAGCCTGATGGCCGTTCCCAGCCGCAGGCCCGCAATGGCGCGGGCGGCGGTATCCTGGACCAGCTCGCCAGGGACTATGCTCTGCCTCAGGGAGTGGCACCGCCATTGCACGACATCAGCTTCGGCTACTACTAGGCTGTCTAGTCCTGCCCCTTTGCCTACTGAAGAGTAGAAGAGTCTGGGATCAATCGTTCGAGCCTCAACAACATTTTATGCCGCTCAATTGTAACGCTATATTGAAATTCTAATGTTTTTCATAGAATAGATTTACGTTACGTCACTGTAGAATTTAATTTTCGTGTTTAGAAATTAAGCGCTATATGCATTATAATATAGCTATAAGAATGCGGTCTACTTAACGTTGCAAATGCTTCGAAGCACTTGATTGACCAATCAGAAAAAAGAATTTTATTAACTAACCAATCAAAGAATGCTTCAAAGAATTTGTTGCATCAAGTGGACCGTAGCCTACGTATTACGATTGATCCCAAACTCAATTACTCATTTCGGTTACGTGTTGGTCTTGTATTCTATTCGTGAATGGGACGCGTCGGCAACTGGATAACTTGTCATAATCTCGGCGTGGCCCACTCTACCTGAAGTAGATGGCAGTGTGATTGATGATTATCGCGAATAGATCATATATTGCAATTGGAAGTTGAGAACTATTAGTCTATTGATGTCTAAAATCGCGATAAAATTCTATTCCGTCCACGTAACATGATTTTTTTTCATATTGTATTTAATTAACAATTCAAATACGTATCAACAAGACAAAAAATAATACATCTCATACATATATTTCACATTGTTCTAATAGCGATAAACTGTGATAAATTGACAGCAAAATATAAAATAATTTTGATGGAAATATTAATACGTTGTTCAAAGGGATTTTTAGTTTTATCATATTTTCTTTATCTTTGGAAATAAGGTAAAAAATTTTTCAAGAGCTTTCAAAAAAACGAGAAATTATTTTTTAAACAAATAGACGTCAAGGTCTGAGTTTTCGACTTCTTATTTTAATTATTTGTTTTTACGAATATCCATCGAGTTAATATTAGGATATAATATTTGACATTATCTTTTTATCAATCATTAAAATTATTGTTACGCATATCACTATTCGTCAAAGAATTATCCAGATAACAAGCGGTACACCGATTAGACATAGTAAGAGTTGTAAAAAGAATGTAAATAAAATTTCTCGTCTTTCCCTTCAGTAGACGTTCGCTTTTACTCCGGAAAACGCAGTTTGCCTTGAGAACTCGCCACTCTGGAGTGCTGCGATCAGCTGGAATTGTATTTTCACGACGAGGTCCCTCGAGAATGTTATGTTAATTGGGCGTGCTTACTATTGTAATTAGATTATTGTAAGGTAATTCGAGTGGAATAAAGTGAGGCCAATACTAAATTCCACCGCCTCTATGTAATGGAACGCAAAAAATTTCCGTACAATGCCGGTGTGACGAGATTTCCTGATTTCACCTTTCCAATTATGGTCCTCGTTAGTCTTAAAGGCTTTCAATGTTCATATTTGCTAAACGCACAAAAGAATAGAGTCACACCTTCATTCGAACGCGTAGTAATTCATACTCAATATCAAATTACCAGATTGTTCTTCGCATTTAGAAACACAATAAGAAAACTTAATTTATTTCGAAGATTGCATGAAACGATAACGATATACGCTCAATTGTATCATATTTTTTGCAAACAAATATCAAAATCTGATATTAGACGTAGAAATTTTTCTAATTATTTTGTATATAAAAATTATTTCAAGATTTTCCTTATACAAAAAGGAACTTCAATTTTAAATGAATAGTATTATTCCAATCGCAAAATATATATAGAGAATAACTTTTGTAATTTTGTAAAAATAAAATTTTATTTCTATAAGAACATTCCTGATAACGTTTGTTAAAAATTTTTTTTAATTTTATTACTTTGTTTCTCGATGAATTCGTTCAGTGTACTCAAGAACGATTTAAAAACGCCTGATGTAATGACAACCAAAGTCACATTGTTGCAGAAACGGCTACATACGGCTGCGATCTTATCTTGTCCCTTCTTGACTTCCAAAGATTATGAAATACAAGTAAGAATAAACCGGTCCGATTTCTCACAGATTAAATTTTCGCATCGCATAATGTGTCTGGCCTTTATCTTCTGCTTTTTGGTTACCAAAATTGAAAATTCTCACGCCCAGTTTGCGCGCGAATAATTCGTGGTTTCTCCAGAATTTCATCACGGCGACAATTTGATACATATTTCTCGAAATATTCACCTCTTCCAGAGACAATCCGTCACAATCGAATACTGTTATATTGAACAAAGTGGTTTTACTTTCGTTTTCAGAAAGTCTCAAGGTGAACAAGCCGGCGTTATACTTTTCACTCTTTAAAAGTTTCTCAGCGATCGGTTCAATGAAAAAAATGCGTATGTGCATTATTACGTATTGTAAACTCTTGATAAAACGCGACCTTGCTGGCCCCGCAATTTTCGCCACTACTTCCTATAGCTTTCATAACAAATGGTCAGAAATAACGCAGCGCATATATGTGATAGACGTTTCTTTATCGATTACAATTGCTTGTCTATTTACTGTCTATATATTATATTACTTACATCTATAAAAAAAGTTTTATATTATATAATTCTTCAATTAACAACATATTATGTATATAATTGTCTCTTTTATCATAAAATAAGATATAAAAATATCATATAATAGAGAAATTTATTCTTAAATAGAAAAAATTTTTTAATCTGAAATAAAATGATCTTGAACATCGCGGTTTTGTGCTAAATATTATAACACCAACATTAAACATTATAATATCAGGCAAAGATTTATTCTAAACGTAATGTATAAACTTAAATTTATATATACATATTACTTTTGTCTTACACACAAGACAATAAATCAATCTCATCTTTAATTCGAGAAAGAAGAATCGGAATTATTGATCTAATCTTATTATTGTTTTGTCTTTATATTACATAAAGCAGAGAAGATTAAATAAGTCTAGAATATTTTTGTCACGTTATCAAAAATCCTTTCTAAGAGAGTAAAATTTGCGCTTTTGTTTCTCTTCAGTTTTTTACGTACCCATAATTTCTACAGCAGAATATGTTTCTTTTCTTTTTAACGTATTGAAAGGCACCGCATATAATTTTATTTTTGTTTGTATTATTTATGCTGTTATGTCGCACATCTCAAGGGACGTGTTACAGAGTGCATAATAAATATTTTCTTTCCATCGTCCATCATGTCGATCCATAACGTGAAGACCCGCGAATTCGCACACCTATTTATCAGCGAAGGGCACTGTACATCAGTATAAGCACCGCGTTCACGTTTACAGGACAAATTGCAATGAGACGTACCTTGGCGTCGCGCCAAACGATCGCGTCATAACGCACCTTTGTGCAAGGTGGGCATTACTTCATGATCGTGTTGACCTTCTCGCTTGTAGAGAAGAGTCGTGCCAAGTGTCGCGGACATGGCGATGCCTAAAGGTTCGTCCCCATTTAAGACCTTATAACAGAGTCTGGCCACGAGTAATTTTATCAAAATTCTATGACAGAGAAATATATATATATATATATATATATATACACAGTCTCCCTGTAAATATAATATTAGCTCAGTGATTCATAAACTTTAATTGCGAATAATTTAAAAATTATGACACCCTCGACATTTTTGTATTTTTTTATTCCAAAGAATCCGCTTTTAATAGGAAATGCGATAGTTTTGGGACACCCTGTATATATACATATAAACATGTATACATATGTCTTTCTCTTTCGTAGGATTTTGATAAAATCGCTTACGATCAGACTTCATTATAAGGTCTCTAGCTTCTACTTCTTTTGAAGAAGAAAAAGAAGAAGCCAGTATGTCACGATTGTCTTCAATGGGGATAAACTATACCATTCGCGCGGTACACAGTACGTTAGTGCTACATAAAACGTACGCATTGACATTCGCTGTTTAGAAAGCTAAGATGCGTATCGAGATAGCGCGTCAATTATCATCTTAATCTAATTCTCTTTAGAATCTCAATTATTTTATTGACTTACTCGTCGATTATGGACTAGCGATAACGCGCGACTCGGTGACGAGGTAGAACATGACTTGCGCTAATAAAATTCGTAATGAAGGAAAATCACGCGTGGCTCGTGAAATTATATGTACACGCTAGTCGTAACGGGCCGTTGACACTTGTCAGCTAGGCCAGTCACGCAAAACGCTCCGTCGGATTTCAACATTAGATGCCAGGCTGGTAAGCTTCACCTACCTCGGCTGAATTTATGCTCTCCGTTGGTGTTGCACGAAATCTACGATAACGTTGATGCAAGCAATCGTGACTTTCAATCGAGGCACGTTTGACGAAAATTCGGAGGAAATAATTGAAACTTTTCTGTCATGATGCCATGACTTTGTTTGATTTACTAAACATGATTTGCTCACATATATTAAACTATTAGCATTTTCTAAATTTATTAAAAGAATTATGATCTCTTTTTTTTCTTCTCAACTTAAGTTTATTTCTTTGAATTTAAAAAATGCTAAATATAGTACAATTAAATTGTTTAAATAGCTCGACTAATTTATTGCGAGAAAACATTTCATAATTCATCAAGATAATTAATACTAAAATTACAAAAGCAATCAAAATAAATGTAGTTTACAAGTTTTTATTAAAATTATAATAGTGTGTTTTCTGATATTTTTATTTGACTTTTGTTGTAATATGTAAATAGGTTAATTTACTTTTCCCTATCTTTATATAAAAGAGATATGAATATATTATGAATAATACAAACGGATATATATTAATCGTTGGTAGTTCTAATGTTAATAACGGTAAGTTCCGTATAAATGCGTAACGGAGTGATAGTCTCCGAATAAATTTTTACGCAATACAGGAAATAGAACTGATTAAATTACGAGTTGCACGCAAGTTACAAGTGAATAACGAAGATATATGTAACGCTCCTGTAAACACTTAGACCGGATCTGCGAGTGTGAAAATAGCCTCGTGAAAATAACTTTCCCCTTCGAAAGTTTTAAGACGGTCAGCTGAGCGCCATGGAATCCGTTCGTGATCGCGTTAAGATGTATAGCAACATTAATATAATGAACTGTATATCAACTCAATACAATTCTCTACACATTATATAAAAATATAATCAAAATATATTACGCGATATGTACAATATATTCATAATTGCTAGAGATACCAGAAAAAAATTATTTCTATTATTTTTTTCTGGTACCTCTAATTTCTTTTTACAATTTCTTAAATCCACGTATCTTGTCTTTTTATATTTAGACTTCACTAATGTATAAAGTGTTTCCTAATTTTATATTTAAGATTCTTCGCGCAGAAATGTAAACATAATATTATAAATATGATAATATACCGAAAAGAGTATATTTAAAATCTCAAAAATCTCTTAAGAAAAATCGTGCTAGAAATTGAAGAATTCTGTTGTTTACATAATACAACAATATTTTATATTATTATTAGCTGTTGACAATAACAATGCTGTGATAAAGACAGTATTATAACTTAAAGCAGATCAAACAATTGTACATACATCTGTTTCTTACTGTCAAAGCGACTTCATTACCGTCACAACATTGTGGATCGCTAATGCTTCGTGACGAAGCCAAGACGATCAGCTGAGCGTGCGGCAGAAAATGCCGCAGCATTGATAATGAACGGAGTGTCTAGGCACGTGCCTCTGCTCGCGTGGAGATGAATCGATGCTTCGAGAAGTAATAACATCGTGTTCCACGTTTCGCGCGGTGCGGGCGCCGCAAGCGTATCCATTCGCCTCGTCTTTCCATTGATGATACCGAGAGTGAACTCGAATACGCCTCCATCCGACCTAATGAAAGCGAGTGAATGCAATTTCTTCCTGAGAAACCGGCTCCGCGATATTGGTATAAATCTCGGAACGGAATAAGTAAGATTCACTTAATGCTGCTACGCGTCGCCATTTATTGCTATGAAATTTTACGATAATTTCACAGAAATTTGAAAGCCGGCTGTATCGCGAAAGTCGCCGATATACATTTCCGCGGAATTGAAATCTCTCTAATGGACTACTTTTATCGATTTTATGCGGTACTTATACACTGTTGAGGATGCAATTAATGCAATTAGTACCGGCATTTGCGTGATCGCGTCCTCTCACTATTGTTCAAGAATTACTCAATTTGAAATCGTTTTTTTAGAATCGAAACCGAATTATCAAACATTTACATGCACATTATGATTAAGCAGTGCAGAATTATATGAGCATGAATTGATAATGACTTTGCCTTTATTATTACAAATTCGATAAGCTGATGCATACAAGCAGACACGCCGAATCGATGACTATATCGATTATGTTAAGTATTCTTCCGTCCATAATACACAACGAGCGAAAGCGTAT